CTCTCCCTCTCTCTCTCTCTCTCTCTCTCTCTCTCTCTCTCTCTCTCTCTCTCTCCAGTCAATAAATCACGCTTTGAGCTACTGTTGCACGAGAAATTTTATTATAAACACAAACAACATGTCGAACGATCACTTGTCCTAATAACCGATAAAGGCTGTGCCGCCTATCAGATGAGTACTGGCTGCAATGAAAATCGTCATAAAAACGGTGGGCACAACGCCTCCCAGCATCTGTAGTGTAAAAGAGGAATCATTAAAAGAGCATGCCCGACTAGCAGATACCCTGAACGGCAATGCGAATGGGATAAGCAGAGACAAAGCGTTAAGCATAGCGACAACTCACAAACTCAAACGGACGAATGTTGCCCCATCCAGAGATAATTGTGTTGGACGAAGTGCTGACGGGCAGCAGGAACTGATTGTGAATGGCAGTGGCATACGGAACCAGCAGGCCACCCTTGCCAATCTTCATTAATTCATCCTAAGCAAGAGAGAGAGAGAGAGAGAGAGAGAGATATTGATATGCGTATCGTCGATAAGGAAAATTCATACCGCATTCGACACGGACTCTAGGGTATGGCGTATCACAGATGTCGCTGGGCTCAGGTTAGTCAAATAGGTGGCGATCATTGATCCGATATAGAGGCATGACGTTTTTGAATATCCCTTTCTGACAATCGCATTGTTTATCACATTGATTAGCTTCGTATCTTCGTAGGCTGCCATCGCACAATTGCCAGCGGCCAGCATTAGCATTTGTGCCCATGGCGTACTGTGGTTCAAAAGCTTCCAGCCGACCATGGAGGGCGCTATCCCCTCCTTTTCGGGTCGCTGGCAGCAGTAGTAGCGACAAAATATATAATTGGCCGGTATGGCAATGTACAGGATGCACATCAAGATGATGGGCACCGAGGAGTAGTTTTCGGCTCCATGTATATTGCTGTTCCAGCCGTGCCAACTATCCCAGATCTGCGGATCTCGCAATACCAGCAGAACCATCGTCAGGAGAATGAAGAATAGAGCCAGTATACAATGAATGGGCCATTTGCCCATTTGCTTCCTCTTGTCTGTTATGGCCTCTATCATGGTGTTTTTAGCAGCGGCTGTTTCACCCAGCTCATCCCTCAGCGTGCCGGGGAACAAGCCAAGAAATATTATGTTTATCCAAATTGCAGTTACAATTAGTCCTCCAATCATTGGAGCCAGAAAGAGTGCCAAAATTCCGGCATTTTTCACAGCCATGGTACTTTAAAAAAATGAAGATAAACGATATGCATTCAATAAAGTTCACATTGTTCTACTCACGACCTCAAACTGTAAACGATCGAGCTATTGGGATCTTGAAAAGGCGATGCCATGGCGCCCAACGTGGCGGAATAGGCTATTGTAAGATATATACCAATTACTGGTTTTGTGGGATATGGCGGTCTAAATAAACGACAAGCTTAAGCTAGTTGATCAATCCATTCTAGAAATTTTTAAAGAACTTACGACTGCCGCTCATATGGCTCCTCATCTGTAACTATCTTCAATATGCCGGCCTGCAAAGCAACAGAGCTAGAAAAACATAAATATAAAGCTTTGGTACTTCCACTTACGTCCGCAAATTCCTTCAACATAGCCTGGGCGATCTTCATCCAAAATGCACACATAAATGTGCTGCAGAAAAATATACTCGACGAGGCGGTCATGATCATGAAACAAAATTGAAGCCTGCAGGGAAACTTTTGTTAAGCGAAAAGGAATAGAAAATATTGTAAAGCAATCATACATATATGGGCGATAAACAAATGAAATATCGATATATTATCGACAATACCGATTATAAAGAAATAACTTGAAATATTAATAATTTACCATCCCAGGTATGATATGCAGTAAGATTTATTGAAAAGTTCAATGAAAATTGATACACATTATACTATTGGACCATATATACTGTAATGGTCCTTGCCACGCCCTCTTTCCTCCTGTTCATTTTCATAAACCAATTATACACTTCATTCCTATTTACAGTGGAGTTCAGGCTATAAGAGCTAATTAAATATATATTAGATATTCTATAAATTGGATATTTTACATATTTTGTTTATACAAACATTCCTATAAATATATTAATAATCCCACAATATTTGGACTTTCAACCCAAAAAGTTGTTTATCATCTAAACATGCATTTATCAAAAATGGTTTTGTTCAATGAAAATAATGCGAGCTAATCGAATTTGATTGGTAAACTCTTGATAAATATTTACTTACCGAGGTTGGTTCGACAAGTTTTATATTACAAAGAAAGGAAAAAGAAAATAAAACAAAATAATATTTTCATGTAACAATAAGTAAATTTTCAGTTCTTTTTATATAGGAAATTATAATTAAATGAATAATTGTTTATACTTAAATTATTTATATTTATATTTATATTTATATTTATATTTATATTTATATTTATATTTAT